GCTACATGTGTTCGATATCGACCGTCTTCTGTTATGGACAGACGGGCAGTTTTTAAACATTTCTCGCGGAATTCATTAACTTAGTAGGAGTGAAAGTTGTTCTTCCGCAAATATATCCATAGGATTAGATCCATGGGCACTAAGTCAGGCGGCCTCGACGGCCAACGGCTGGATTCTTGGTTAACTATTCAATTATTCTTGAAATTGTCTGCAAAAATTTGCTGATAACTTCAGCGTTCTTAGGCGGTGCGTCGTCTTGCTGGAAAAATATGTTTTCCAGTTCCATTAAAGGCATATCATCAATAAGGGGTCCAAAGCTTACTAGTTAAAAGTGGCGAACTTTTAAAAATTCTGTATTTCGAAGGGGATTATAACAAAATATCAAGTGTGCTATATTTTTGGAAAGGTAATTTCTTTTTCTTTTCAGTTAATTAAAAATATAGAGGGTGTCCCAAATAAAAAATCAATTTTTCTGTTGATAACTCTTAAATTATTAATTTTAAAAAAATTATACTTAAACCATTAAATTCTACGTAAAAAGGTGCTTTGGAAATGTTTTCATAGAAATACAGAATTTTCCATAGCAAAAAAGTTACAGCGATTTGTTAAAAACGCACATTTATGAAAAACACCCCGTAATTCCGAAACGGTAACAGATATTGATGTGCAGTTTTCACCATAAATCTCCTATAGAAAAGGGTGTTTCCATTTAAAAGCGTCGAATTGGACCCACTCTCTCTCTCTCTCTCTCTCTCTCTCTCTCTCTCTCTCTAGTACTAAATTAACTTGTAAACTAGCCACTGGTTACACCCTAATTTGAAAAACGGGTGATTTTTTTCAAAATAGAAGCGCATTTAGTTTGTAAAGATATTGCTGGTTAGTTTTGTAATCGCAAAACAATTTCTCTCTTCAATCTTAATTTAAAATTGACAAACAATATATTTATTATATTACATTTGTAATGTATGTATATTTATTATATTGCATTTCTTTAAGAGTTTTATGTTGTATTTTTAATTTAATAACTAATATTTTAATATTTTAGTAATTAATTGAATTATTTGTTTTATAGCTTATTTTGCTTATTATATATTTGCGAAAACTAGTCCATTATGAAGATTATTCTAAGCCTTATTATCATCACATCTTACAACGCCATAAGTGTAATAACAAGTAAGAGGGTGCTATTAATGCACAAACTAATAAACACAGAATCTAATAAAAACTAACGTAGAAATAACTTTGAAAGTGGTGTATTGTGCTTATCAATCAAACTTACTTCTCTGACTGCAGTCAAGGGTAATAAAGGACCTTTATTGTCACGTTCTCGTTCAAAATAGTTTATCAAGGGTTTTACTTTTACAAGCTCTTTGCTTCGACTGCTTAATATATATATATATATATATATATATATATATATATATATATATATATATATATATATATATATATATATATATATATATATATATAGCCAAAGTTATAAATCTACACGAAAATTCCAGATGATAACGAGACTAACCTCTTGCTCGATGGTTTTCGGACTACTGGCGTACCTAACATGCGACCCATGCTTTTAGGCGACCTTCAGTGCAATTTCGGATATTTTCGTTTAGACGTTCGGTTTTTTAATGGCGTACCCCGTTCTACCCCGCTACCCCGTTCCGCCCCACCTTCCCCTACAATTAAAAAAAAAAGACTATGAAAATAGGTAAAAAACGAGAATTACTCACAAAGATTCAACAACAACACAACATTATACAAAATAATGACTGACAATTAGGATAATAATTGTTAAATACCAAACGACAACCTTGCTAAAACCGGCCCAATGTGACTAACTGACTAACATAGCGATAATAAAATTCGGTTTAAACTATTTTTTGCAGCTTTAATCTACATAAAATATCCTTCGCTGTATAAAGTAAAATGAAGAGCTGTTCGGTATCTTAAATTATGGAACAAATTTAAACATTTTAGTCAAAATTTCATTTAGTCAGGTTTATAGACTTTAGTGTCAATGTTGATATGATTGATGACGTGCATCGGAAAATGTTTTGCGATTACAATATCCATGTTAGCAGTAACATATTATAATTATACACCAAAATAAATCAATCAAAAACTGTTTATTAGAAAGAGAAAGCTAGTAAAATAAAAAATAAATATATCAAATAGAAACGCATATCAGTCGTCTCTATTCGAACAGATTCTGGTTTCGAATGTTCCAGCTGGAGAAGACGCTTCGAATTTAATACGGTTTGCCGACAACGCACGTGACCGGCTTCATAATAGAGAGGCGCCGCGCCGTTGCAAAAATTCTCTATAATCTCGGAAGCCCGAATAAATTTGATAAACTGACTAAGGACTTGTTCGTGCCAAGGCTTGCAAATAGGTCAGATGAAGTTTAATTAGACGGAAACGAACAGTATTGGTACTCGATTTGTCGACTAATATGAATGATTAAAATTTTATGTACTTATTATTCAGCTTTTATTGGATGTGAACGCACATGATAATCAATATTTAAAAAAAATATGGATTTTTGTAATGTCTAGTGCTTAATTTATTATGCTCTTTGAAGCATGTTTTACACAGTATGTTTCTGAATGCATTGATAGTAATGGGCAGGTAGATGTATATACAGACCTTATTAAAGCATTTGACAAATTAAATCACTCTATTACTATACAAACTTAACTCAGGGATCAAACCTAGGCCCACTTTTATTTCTATTATTCAGTAACAATCTAGATAATATCCTGAACTGTTGTCTTAACTAGTGCCTAGAATCTCGAAACAAAGCAGAATCGGACGTATGTTGATATTAAAAATAAATCTTATTTTTACGTGAGGAATCTCCTCACGAGATTGCACATGTTTTTTGAAACACCCTGTATAAAAGTAAGGAAAGAAACAGCATGTCTTCCTTGACTAGCAGAATCAAATTCATCCTAGCCAAACTGTTTTAGTTCAGAGATACCTACAGCTGCAACTTTAGAAGGGAAGAATGTAGTGTATATGGCTACATTTTCTGGCAACTTTCTTTCTGAACTTCTTCAGAAATTTTCGTCATTAAGTAAAATTGAACGCATAATTTCCTATCGCCTTCGTTTTTGTGAACAACTTGCGTAATCGTAAGCGCAAACAAGTAGGGTGTTTGAGTTACGTAGAACTTTATAACGCGTTGATAGTGAATGTGCGATTTGTACAAAATTGGGTCTTTTCTGCTGATATTCTAAAACTAAAAGAGAAGATGCCACGTTCTAAACCGCTTAGGAAGTTATGTCCGTTTCTAGACGAGGATGGAGTCCTCAGGGTGGGCGGTCATTTAAAATATGCTAATTTGGAATTTGACATTAAACATCCTATGTTGCTTCCTAGGGACCATCGACTAACTAATTTAGTTATTCAAGAATTTTATAACAAGAACTTACATCCTGGACCTAGAACTCTTGAACATTTAATTTTACAACAATTTTGGATATTATCAGCTCGACGAGCTATTCATCATGTCCTTTCAAGGTGTTGTCGATGCTTCCGAATTATTCCTTCCAATTTGACATCATTTATGAATGATTTGCCTTCGGCCCGTGTTGCCCAAATAAAAGCTTTTACTCATTGTGGAGTAGATTTTGCTGGACCCTTATCGATAATCTTAAGGTACGGTTTCGCTGGAGCCGTCAACGGCGACCATCGACGGTTGTCGTCGACAGCAACCGTTGAACGCCATCTTATCATGTATTCCTTGGCTAGGCCACAGTAGCCGCCAACAGTCGCCCTTTAGCATCCGGCTGTTTGCATCATGAAGAGAAAACTATTAGCCTTTTTGCTTTTAGAAGAGGAAGAAGACGAAGAAATTATAAAATATTTGAAAATGAGAAAAAGATCGACAACTCATAATATTTTCTTAGAAGACGTAACGAAGGAAGTTTCAGTTTCCTAATTAGTGAACATTTGAAAGGCGATGAGAAGAAGTTCAGAGAATTTTTTCGAATAAACAAGGATCAATTTTACTTTGTGCTCAGTATGGTGGAAAATGATTTAAAGGAGGCGTCAACTAATGCAGTTAAATACCCCATAACTCCAGACGGCGCGTTCAGACTGGTTGGTATATCAAGCAGTGGAAAAGAACGGCGGACGCGATGATACGCGCTAAAGAAACCATGCCTATTGAAACCAATGAATTGCAGTAGACGCCGTCAACGGCGACCGTGTACGGCGACCGTGTACGGCTCCAGCGAAACCGTACCTTTAGGAAGACACCGTGGTGTTCATAGTCAGAAAGCTTACGTATGTACGTTTGTTTGTATGAGTACGCTGTCCATCTTGAGGCAGTTTCGGATCTTTCATCTGAAGCTTTTCTGGTATCTTTTCACAAATTTGTAGCTAGGCAGTACTGTAGCTACAGTGACCGTGGTACAAATTTTATCGGAGCTATCTTCTACTATCCTACTGTAAACAGTCTTCTGAGTCATTGTCTATTAAATGGCATTTTAACCCTCCTAATTTTGGTGGTTTGGTTTGGTTTTGGTGGGAGAGTGCTGTTAAATCTGTAAAGACTCGCTTGTAATCTGTATGAACTACGTTCTAGCGTCTGTCGGTAACTTAATATTCGGAAATTACAGAGCCTATCAGAGCGTATCGATACATGCTGTTTCATTCCTTACTTTTCTATACCGTATGATCGAATAAAAACGGCGTCAGCGATGGCTATGAAATGAAGATCGATGTCATTTTATATGTGAAATTATATGGGAAATGTCATCGATCGTCATTTCCAAGCCAACTGGACGCCGTTTTTTTTCGATCATACGGTATTTATGTATGTCTTTTTTACTTGACTTATAAATATAAAATGGTTTACCGTTGGGAATAAATAAATAAATTATTGTTTTATTGTGGATAAACATCTTTTTTCAACTGAGCTAACAACACATCCTGTCTTATCGAGGTGAGAGATTGATAGAATATTTTTGGTTTCAGGTGCATGGGGGGCGATGGGCTGGGGCGGCACGGCTGAGGGCGGCTTGCGGAGGCGGATGCCGCTGCGGCGCGCCGGCGGTGGGGCGGCCGCAACGGGGGCCCACGGGCCGGGCCACGGCAGGGCCATGCGCTACTACCGCCTCTGGATCTACACCTGCAACACGGCGCTGCTGGCGGGCGCCTTGGCCTTCACCGGCGCCGCTGCCAAAACCCTCTTATTTGATTTTAGAAGGTAAGTGTCGTTATGTTATCGTAAAAGTTATGTTAAGATTCGTTTTCAAGTTATAAGTTAATTTTTATTGTTAGATCGGGACCACACCAAAATTTGTCCAAAAATAGCAAAGGAAAATACAGATAAACTTCAGTAATCCATTTTCCGTGAGTGAACGATTAACATTAATTTTACCTCTACACTATGCGGAGAACTCTTCGAAGGCTTCGAAGGTCAAGGTCGCGTTTCGTCGCCCAACTTTGTCGCATTTCTGTTTATTTCAAGTTGCCTTGACCCACTTCGGTTTACCTCGACCTACTCTCGATTCTTAAAAGCGCCTGAAAACTATTCGTGAGGAGGGCGTAGGAGAGATTTTTTGGCGTTTCCTGTTGCCTCGTTCAATTTTGTTTCGTTTTGGGCTATTTCCAAAACGCGGCGGTATCGGTACCCGAGGCAAAGGACTTTTTTTTCATAAATTTCAGTGAAATAAGTAAACCTAAACGTTTCTAAAATAGCTGTTGTTACGATGACATTTCGTTAATTACACCTCGTTTTATGTTGATATATATTCCTCAATATTGTATTTAAACACGCGTTTATAATATGTAGAGTAGATATTTAAGCACAAAACTTTTCACTCAATCTGCAGGAATATAATTACAATATGTTTATTATTTTTAATTTTATTATAATGGATTAGTATATAAAATTGCGTATGTTATGTTTGTTTAGGCAGTCTTAATTTATTAATATAACAGTAGTATTGCTTAATGAGTAATACTGGCAACATCATCAATATATCGAGCTGACTGGGAAAATTATTGATTGGCCCGATGTCAATAAAAGATACTTTTATATATAATAATAACATGGTTTGATCTAAATCCATTCAAAAATAAGAAATTGAACGATTTTTTAAATAGTTTAACACCGTCGTTTACAACCTGCAGTTTTACGATTTTAAGTTTTGGAAATATATTTTTTACTATATTGTAATTAATAATGGTAGACAATGATTATAACTAAATATGCTTGTGTAGCCTTTGGAGGAATAGGCAATTTAATCTACATTTATATAGTATGTAGTATTGTTGTAACGAACCCACAAAAAATGTTAAAATGTAAAATTTGGAAGAAACAAAATAAGCAGTAATTTAATATTGTCTTTTAATGCCCTGAACATCAAGTAAATTCGAAATAAACAAAAAAATAAAAAGACTGCGGATCATATTTATCCTATTCATGATTTTTTTGTGTTTAGCGTGGCATTTTCCTTACTTTTGGGGAATTTTATTTTGCGAGTTAAATTACTACATTGGTAGCATTACTCCAATCCAATGCCGTTTTCTAAAAACTTCGAAGGCAAGTTCAGCAAGGAATAACCGGTATCACAAATTAAAGTATTAAAAACTATAAAATTACATTCATAAGGTGGTTTTCTTATTATTTTAGTCCTCACGTATTCGTTACACGTTGGAGGAAATGGACGGGAAAATAGCAAAGCTAAAGTTCAGTTTGACCCTACCTCCCTTTTAATGTTTAAGTTTTCTAATGTTAGAAAGTTTTGCACGTTACCGTAACTTAAATTAAAAGTTTTGTCTTGTTATCAACTTGTACTTTAAGGACATTGTATAGTTCAATTCAGTTTAATTCTTTAGTTGGGCATGGGTGGGGGGTCTTCTATTTATACATTCTCTAAAGACATGGAGAAATGAGCTTCCAATAAAATAAATATTAAAGGCAATATGACAATTGGTTGCTCTAAACTTTGGTGCCTATAGGAGTCGGGTTTGCTTCTGTAAGAGAAACTTTTTTTATTTTTTGAAATAAAGTATGTGGTTTTGGTCTAATATTTTAAAATAAACAAAACCAATTTGCTGCAAAGTTTTAAAAAGTTTTAAAAAGTTCAAAGCGAAGGGGACCAAGAAAAAGGTCAATAGAAATAATAATAATAATATAAGAAAATAATAATAATAATAAATCATTTATTTGCTCAATTACTTAAAATGTTTAGTCTCGTCGAAAAAAACCATTTCTGCCTCACTAAACACTGCGCTTCTACCCCTTCCCGATGGGACTGTGATTCCAGATCTCGGTCGTTGTGCAAAGAGAGACTCTATAAATTTCCTTAGACAAACCTTACGTAGTACTGTTCTTCAATTTTCGAAAAATTGAGAAATCCGTCTACGACCTATATGTGGATTTGTCTCGTCTTCGTGACGATGGAATATTGAAATAAATACAAATATAATAAATACAAATATAATAAATACAAATATAATAAATATAAATACAATATAATAAATATTAATACAATATAAAATAATAATATAATACAAATATAATAAATAATATGTTATTCTTATTATAATAATATATCTATAATCTCCACCGAATCTCCCCTATTTCCTTATTTAGAAAAATTGTGGCCTGAAAAGAACCGGTTTTACTTCTTGAGCTAGTATCTCCGCCGAGACCGTTTATTGTCCCGTCCTCGTCTGAGCCTTTTTGTTTTTGGTGGTACTTCTGCTTCATCTATTAATTGCCTATCTGCGCACCGGAGGAAGAGATGGTCCTGGAGGCGGAGGAGGCGGCGGCAATGCGGCAGGTTCCTCGTACTGGACGACCTTCTCCACAAGCTTCATAACTCGATTTGAGTTGTTACAAAAGTATAAACCAAAGAAGTTCAAATGGTTACGTACCAAGCTTATGTAGAAGATACTTATTTGGCGATGCTCGCTTCTATTAAGCCGGCATCCCACGACGCGAGACTTGTTTGGCGCGCGATTCGGCGAGCTACACGTCGTGGAAATGAGAGCGCTCGTCGATGCGACGAGCGGCTCGGCTCGGCGCGGTCTTCCGGCCAGTTGTCGGTAAATGTGGCACAAGTCAAAGAATGAACGAGCATCGCAGGCTTGACTTGTCTGAACTTGTTGAATCATTTCCTACCATTCCCACGTAGGCTTGTTATTAAACAAAAATGTTTTTAAAAAAAAGTTTTTAAAAATAAAATGTTTAAAAACATTTCATTTTTTTTTTCATAAGCTTGGCTATGGCTAGATAAACTGCGATTTGTACGAGCTCACAGTTTAGTTGGCATTTTAACGGTTGTTTTGATGTCTGAAGTTGAATAGAAATTGAATAGAAATAGAAGGTAAAGTTGTCAGGCTTAAGGGAGAAAAAAGTTGAATACCTGGTTTGATTGCATTAGTTGAATATTTGCTTCGTTAATATATTCGAGATTCCGAGGTTGCCAGATCTTCATTTGGATTTAACATGAGTAAAGGAACTAGAACTGCGCCAGTGTCCAATCCCCACGATGATAACCAACTAGAGACGATAATAACTAAGCTCGTCCCAAAATTGAATCAAAGAATTGAGAATCAGTTGGAAAACTTAGGTAACAGATTTGAAAAAATAGAAAACAGTGTTGGGAGTATTATGGAAAAACTTAATACAATAGAAAGTATGACCCAGTCCAATAGACAGTCTATAATAAAGATGGAAGGAAGAATGGATAATCTCGAATATAAAATCAGACAAAATTCTTTAAGAGTTTAAAGAAGGCATCCATTTTTCTCAATTAAAAAAGTAGAAAAAAGACTCAAAGTCTCGGTCTCAACGTTTATACAATGTTAAACTGTTACACGGGTTTCGCTCATATACGAGCATCATCAGACCTAACAAGAAAGAACCTAAATAAATAACAAATAATAAAAAAGGTCGTCATAACTTACAAATACAATTAAAATTAATCCAAATACACGTTCACATTTAACAATTAAAACAACACTGAGACGAGGCTGAAATGACCGGCAAATATTTGTCAATAAAAAACAAACAGGAACAAAAAATCAAACAAAGTCAAGAATAAAAAATAGAATAACCCAGCGGGATTTGAACTCTAGCCTCCCGGGTGGGAACCAGAGAGCAAAGCCACCAAGCTACCATACTACTAAAGTAAAGAATCAGAACTCAACAATAATACACGGCCGAATTAATCTTTCAGATTATTGAAAATTAATGTTGGTTCGAAATTAAAAATGTCATTCACGCACACAAGAACCGGACTTTTTTTTAGCTCTAGTTATTTCCATTTTCTCCAATAAATCAAGTTTTTTACTTTTTTGGCATTCGTGCAGAACACTAACGTTTTCTGAGATGGAAAAATCGTGACCTGTGGCTAATAAGTGGTTCGCAAAAGCCGATTTAGTCTCAGTTTTATCCGAATTTCTGTATTTATTGACAAGGCTCAGATGTTCCTGTACTCGGGTGGAAATCTTTCTACCTGATTGCCCCACATAGACCGCTTGACAGTCGCCACAATTCAAAGAATAAACTCCCGATTTAGAGAGAGCCTCCGTTTTGTCTTTATTTCTAACCAAATTTGCTTTTAATGTATTAATAGTTTTAAAGGAAATAGATAAATTAAGATTTTTAAAATATTTTGCCAATTGGAGTGAAATATTACCAAAAAATGTTAAAACTTTATACGGGCCTCTCTGTAAATTTTTCGAATGTATGACATTATAAGACATCTTGTACCTATTTACAAACTTATAGTAAATCTTGTTAATAGTTCCTAGCGGAAACCCGTTGTTAAAAGCAATTTGTCTTATAATGTATGTCTATTTATTAAACGCTTCTCTGGATAGTAGCAAGTTACATAATCTATAGAACAAAGAATTAAACGCTGCGAATCTATGGGAATATGGGGAGTTAGAAATATGCTGAATAACGTTATCTGTGGAGGAGGGTTTTCTAAAAATTTCAAACTATATTTTATTATTATTTCTCATAAGTAATAAATCCAAGAACGGTAATTTGCCTTCATTTTCTTTTTCCAAAGTGAAAGAAATTCTATTATGTAAGGTATTGACATAAGAAAGGAAATCCACCAGCTGCCGTTCACTGCCACCCCACACGACGCAAACATCATCTACATATCTTCTATAAGCTATTAAATACTGTGAAAAACTACTCTCCATTATCTGTATTTCCAAGTTGTTCATGAAAACCTC